GCGTCACACCGCCGTCACAGCAGTCCCCGCCGGTGTCCGCTCTTCGCCTGCTCGGCCTTCCGTCCCATGACCCCGTGCCCGTGCCTCCTCCTCCTCCTCCTGCCTCCGGCCCTGTGTTCCCTCCTCCGGACGCGTCTCCGGCCCGTTTCCCCCCTCGTTCCCCTCCTGTGTCCCCTCCTCTGTCTAAAGACCCGACTCCCCCTTCTCACGTCTGGTCTCACCGTCCCTCCGTGCTCGACCTGTCTCCCCTGTCTCGCGCTCTCACTTTATGTTGCTTCGTTCCCACGCGTCTCGTCCTCCCCTTCTCCCGTCGCCCCCTCCGTCCTCCCTTATCGTTGCTTCCCCCCTCTGTCTGAATACTTGCGTGCGGCTCGTCCTCTTGTTCCTCGGGTCCTTGCCTCTCTCGTTACCGACCCGTCTGTTCCGGTTTCGAGCCTTGACGCACTTGTCGTTGCGGTCGCTGACTTCGCCTCTACTCGACGCCTTGACTATGCCACCGCTTTGGTCTCTGACCCTGCCTGTCCTCCGTCTATCAGGGGTGCTCCTGCCCTTGGCAGTGACGCTCTGGAGGACCGCCAGTACAAGCTTGCTTTCCTGTCCGAGGCTGCTCCCCATCTCTGTTCCATGCTTCTAGTCCCTGAGGGTGACCCCGACGCTTTTGACATCCCGACCCTTCGCACTTACGCTCAGGCGGTCTCGGGACCCTGGGCCTCTCAGTGGATAGCTGCCATGGAGTAGGAGATGGCATCTTGGAGATCCACCGGCACCTACGTCAACGCAGTTCCCCCACCTAGGGTGAACGTAGTTGATAGCCGCTGGCTCTTCAAGGTGAAGCGCCCTCCTGGAGAGCCGCCGTTGTTCAAGGCGCGCTACGTGGCTAGAGGTTTCAGTCAGCGTGAGGGGGTGGACTTCTTCCAGACCTTCGCTCCGACCCCGAAGATGACTACTCTTCGGGTGCTACTACACGTAGCAGCACAGCGTGACTACGAGCTTCACTCCCTCGACTTCTCCACTGCGTTTCTTCAGGGCAGTGTACACGAGCAGGTCTACCTGCGTCGCCCTCAGGGCTTCATTGGTACCTTCCCTCCTGGGACCCAGTGGCTCCTCCGGTGCCCCATGTACGGCCTGCGGCAGGTTCCCCGCGAGTGGCACGACACGCTGCGTGCTACGCTTGCTGACATGCAGTCCTTTCCGTCCTCTACAGACCCCTTGCTCTTCGTTCGTGCTGGCCAGACTCCATTCTACATCCTTGTTTACGTAGACGACCTGGTCTTCGCCACTGCAGACAGGGACGCACTGGCCTCCGCGAAGGCAGAGCTGCTGAAGAGACACACCTGCACTGACCTTGGAGAACTGCGCCACTACCTTGGCTTGCAGATCTCCAGGGACAGAGCAGCCCGCACCATCAGTTTGACTCAGTCACACTTGGTGCGCCAGGTCCTTCAGAGGTTCGGCCTTCTGTTCTCCTCTGCACAGCCTACTCCTCTGCCTCTAGACCACAAGCTCTCCGCTCCAGTTCCTGAGGAGTCAGCAGAGCCCAGTGGTCCTTACGCAGAGCTGGTGGGTTGCCTCATGTACCTGATGACTTGTACGCGCCCAGATATCGCATACCCTCTCAGCATCCTGGCTCGCTTTGTAGCTACAGGCAGACACCGACCTCAGCACTGGCCTGCCGCTAAGAGGGTTTTGCGTTATCTTGCAAGTACATCGGGCATGGGGTTAGTACTAGGAGTACGTAGGCCAGTGGTCCTTACTGCTTTAGCCTTGGTTCAGGTGCCATCTCGTGGAGAGCTACCCGCTCCTCGTCTGTTGCCCTGTCCAGCTGTGAGGCCAAGATCTACGCCGGTGACATGGTGGCACGGGAGCTCCGCTGGCTGACCTTCTTGCTCACTGACTTAGGTGAGCGGCCTAGCTCTGCCCCGGTCCTGTACGCTGACAACAGGGCCATGATCCTTCTGTGTCAGGAGCCTTGACTCGAGGGCAGAGCAAAGCACATTCAGCTGCGGTACTTCCTCCTGCGTGACCTGCAGCAGCGTCGCCAGGTGCACGTAGTACACTTGGCCTTGGGTGCCAACACAGCTGATATCTTTACGAAGGCGCTTGCGCCTAAAGATCATCAGCGACACTGTGTACAGCTGGGTCTCGTTCCTGTAGCCTCTCACTTGCTAGGGCCTTGACTTAGTACTGTCCTTTATATATATATTTTACCCTGACTGGCCTTGTGGCCTCTCCCAATGGCTGGACTAGTAGTGCCGCCTTGGGCTTGCTCTTGCCTTGTCTGTACTCGTTTTGACTTGACTTTGGACACTTGTCTCAGAGGCTGGACGAGTAGTGCCGCCCTGAGCTGCTTCTTCCCTTGTTAGGCACTGCCCCTATATAGTCTAGGGGGTGTGTCCAATGTAACTTAGGTTGTTACTGTAGACTATACGGAATTGTGCCTTAGAGGGTACAATACCTTAGTCTATATATCCTTGTACACACATTCTAGTTAAATCATTTTTCTTTCTGATATAATGTGCCTTCCGCAACAACCCATCAATCCTGATTTTTCCTAAATTACGGACAGGACCCCATGGTACCATCTCTCAAAGAAGCTTAGGACACTAGCTAGGTAGCTAGGATGAAGGAATGTAGGTAGGCAGTAGCTAGGAAGCTAAGAAGGCCGCCATGAATGTGGCGGCGGGGTTTAGCTAGGAGGGAAGAAAAGTGTCGAGAGGAAAGAGGATGGACTAGGAAGAGAGAGGCATACAAGGTGGGGTTTGTACCCTCTACAGTAAGGTTCAGTTACCTACCAAGCCTACAAATTATATAACACACTATATAATTTTGACACACCCCCTAGGCTTGGTAGTTGAAAGCCCACGACACACATAGCAAACACACCCCCCCCCCACACACACACACACCCCCTAGCCTAGCACCCCAACACTTAGCAACAGCCACGGCCATTCCAACATGGCCAACCTCATGGCGCGAGAGGCGGGGCGACGCTGCAACAAGGGCTGCAGGGATACCGTCACCATCGAGTGCGGCATCGACAGCGGCGGCGGCGTGCGGCGGGAACGCCCAGTGGCATCAGCGGCGGCGGCGGCGGCTTCGACGACGGCAGTCGGCGGCGGTGCAGGGCCCGCAGTACTCGGCGGCGTGGCCGGGTTCCGCGACGGTGGGACGGCCGGTGCAAGGCAGCCGTAGGCTATGGCGAGTACGAGGGGACGCAGGGGACGGGGGCAGGGCTGCATCAGCACACGGTGTGGCGCGGCAGCGTGCTGGCGTGCTGGCCAGCGCTAAGGCCAAGCACTGGCCGCATGTCGCAACAGCAGCATGTCGAGACGGTCGCGGCGGTACGACACGACAGGGACGACGTTAGCGCAACGTCACGGTTGCGCGTCGAGACGGCAGCGGCAGGACGGCGCAGCCGGCGACAAGACGACGCCGCCACAGCGTGACGCCGCCGCGGCCGCCATGTCAGCGTTAGGAATAGGAGAGGAAAGTGCGGCGGAAGCGTGAGGAGCAGGCCCGCTAGGAGTGGACGGCTCTGATACCATCTCAAAGAAGCTTAGGACACTAGCTATGTAGCTAGGATGAAGGAATGTACGTGAATTTCGTAAAACTGGAAACCATCTGCGAACTTTCGCCGCATCTGCGAAAGCACTGTTGGGCTGAGAAATAGCCCTCAGGATCTTTTCAGAGACTAAGTCCCACTTGTACGAGATGCTTGAGTAGTGCAGCGGAAGTGTTGAGTAGTTGAACCCTTGCACTAGTATGTGAGAGCAAGTGATTGACTAAAAGAAACAAGCATACAACAATATATAGGAAATAGGAAATAGAGCAGTTGTAGAATACAGTTGAAGAAACAGTTATCGAGCCGCACAGCGACTCGATCAATGGTTCGGTTACCACCCATGCAGTCGTAACGGTCAATCGCAACCTCCAGTTGCGATCCTTCGAGTTCCTTCGTCCTTTCGTGTTCTTTCGTCCAACCTCCTCGTGTAACCTCCGTTGACTCGCGTACTCGATACGACATTTCTTCGAGTGTAGTGTTACACTTTAGAAACGCTAAGTCTTCGAGGTATTTCCAACAAGCACAAACAACATTTCGCTCAACTTGAGAAGTGACATGTGCTTGCATTTCGGTACATTGCGAGGTGCTGGTTTGGGCGAAAATGTATTTGCGAGTGCCACGCACGCACATGGCATCGCTTGCGACTTTCACGATGTTGGGCACGTGCACCCAAGTCTAACGTGAGGATTGGAAGTCTAAGCAGCGGCTCGGGAAAAACGACGTGTCTGACGCAAGGTTAGTCTGACGCGAGGACGTAGGAATCTGCTCCGAGTCCTTCGCCAAAATCACGCAGGTACTGTAGTGAGAGACACATTGTACGCAGTGAAGTCCCATCTGAAACAAGGAATAGTTACCAAAAAAATGTAGGCCTGATTAGGCAAGCTTATTTTTTTTTTGGCCTGACAAAACATGCCACGCCCAAATCCCAACGCTGAAAAACAGGTTTATCACTTGAGCGGCCCTGGGCAGTCAGCCTCCCTAAAACCAATCTGAGGCCCTGTTTCCAATACTGAAATAAAACGATAGGTGTTGTAGTAGACTAAGTATAAAACTATAAACACGAACACTTGGTAAACCCTCAAGTGTTGGTCCAGGATCTTTGCTGGAATGGTAGACTAGTAAGTAAGACAGCGGAAGTCTTGTAAAATGTTAAAGTCAAGGTTGAATAACCTGAGTATGTGAACTTGTGAGTAATCACAGTTTGTCACACAGTTTATCACAAAGTTAATAATGAAAAGACCTAACAAGGATTTATAGTACTACGAAAAGTACCTATTCGCTAATGTACCTTTTCGTCACTATCGCGCTATGCGCCCCAGACGATATTGAAGAGGTGCGACTGTTCGCGTGACTGAAACGACTGTGCTATGACGAGCGCTATTTGCTGACGTCATCCTACGGACTTATCTTCTACAGTCTGATTCGACACTAACTACACTTAATCGACTTACAGAAATGCTATCAATTATATCACAACAAATACAAGGTGTAAAGTCTTCCGCTGAATTTTACTCGTGGTTCCACCTACTCTAGATCCTGGCCACCCTTAACACGTGGTTCATTTCAACATAGCTAATGTACAATGCCAACACTGAGCTGTGCAACAACCCACCAATATCCATCATCACACTTCCATCCAATGCCTCGCCCACCATGCACCTTATCCTGCCATTCTCAACGGTTACGGCAGGCAGCTAGCCCTACGGCACTCTTCACACACTCCCACGTGCTGCTGGCTAATGTACTTCCCCCGGGGCTGCAGACTCATTGCCCTCTCATACTCCAAAGTCAACGCTAGCTGTGTCTAGAGAGCGCTCCGTTCCCCTACAGACTCATCCTGTCCAGCCATAACCCTCATAAGACAGCTCCCACACTCGACAATCCCACACCCCCCACATGCAGTCATCCGACACCCCAGATTCACACCGCAGCCCCCATAGTTGTTCTGCATGCATGACACAATGATCACACCCACACTCATAACACAGCGCCCACACTCGACCATCCCACACCTCCCACACCCGCCCCTCCGAAGCGCTGTCTTCATGGCACGGAGAAGAGTCCAGCAGCGCCGGATACGATGGGGCGGGTTGAGCACAAGCCGGTTCGCCCTCTCCCACTGATCCCTGCGGGACAGCCCAGTGCAGGGGGCATATGCCGTGTGCCTATAACAGCCCTCACACACGCCCCTCCCAAACGCTGTCTTCACGGCACGAGGCGGAGTCCAGCAGTGTGCGGACGTGGGGAGGAGGGTTGAGCCCCAGCCGGCTCGCCCTCTCCCACCTCTCCCTGCGGGAGAGCCCAGTGCAGGGGCCGAACGCCATGTCCATGTCAAAGAGCTGCAAGGCGCGCTCAGTCTCCTCATGCGGTGATGCTGTGGCAGCATCTGGAGACAGACGGGGAGCATTGGGAGGAACACAGCGGGGTGAGGAGCCTGTAAGCCATGTCCATGTCGAAAGGATGCAAGGCGCACTCTCTCTTGTTGTCCTTGGAAAAACGTGGCAGCACAAGGGTGCAAGGGGGAAGAGGGGGAAGGGGGGCAGAGAGGGAAGGGGGACAGAGAGGGATGGGGGACAGAGAGGGAAGGGGACACGAGAGAGAAGGGGGACAGAGAGGGAAGGGGGACAGAGAGGGAAGGGGGCAGAGAGGGAAGGGGGCAGAGAGGGAAGGGGGACAGAGAGGGAAGGGGGACAGAGAGGGAAGGGGACAGAGAGGGAAGGGGGACAGAGAGGGAAGGGGGACAGAGAGGGAAGGGGGACAGAGAGGGAAGGGGGACAGAGAGGGAAGGGGGACAGAGAGGGAAGGGGGACAAAGAGGGAAGGGGACAGAGAGGGAAGGGGGACAGAGAGGGAAGGGGACACGAGAGGGAAGGGGGACAGAGAGGGAAGGGGGACAGAGAGGGAAGGGGACACGAGAGGGAAGGGGGACAGAGAGGGAAGGGGGACAGAGAGGGAAGGGGGACAGAGAGGGAAGGGGACAGAGAGGGAAGGGGGACAGAGAGGGAAGGGGGACAGAGAGGGAAGGGGGACAGAGAGGGAAGGGGGACAGAGAGGGAAGGGGGACAGAGAGGGAAGGGGACAGAGAGGGAAGGGGGACAGAGAGGGAAGGGGACACGAGAGGGAAGGGGGACAGAGAGGGAAGGGGACACGAGAGAGAAGGGGACACGAGAGGGAAGGGGACACGAGAGAGAAGGAAAGGGAAGAGGGAAGAGAGAAGGGGGCTTAAGAAAATCGAGCTGCAGCTTGATATAGGACCACCAAAGTGTGTGAACACAACGTGCTGCACGACTCACCGTTTGCACCTCACCACCAGGCATTGCTCCCAGGCGGGCTTGCAGCCCCCCTACCGTGCTTGGCCTTGGCCTTCTCAAAGGTCAGCTGCTATACACTTGCTATGCTCACCATTCTGCACCTCAACGGCTGACTCCTTGGCGGGCTTCCAGTCCGTCTGCGTGGCGCCCCCCGCTGCCGTGTTTGGCCTGCGACACTAATATTGCTGACTTCTAAAATATCAAGCAAGCTCACCATTCTGCACCTCAACTGCTGACTCCTTGGCGGGCTTCCAGTCCGTCTGCTTGCCCTCCCCACTGACGTGCTTGGCCTGCCGATCCCCAACTGGCTTCCTCTGGGCGAACCCCAGCACCTGCTGCTTCCTCTCCATGCTGGTAACCAGACGGCGTTACCTGTTAGAGGCACGTGGTGAGGTGATGGAGAAGAGGGAGAGGAGACATAAAACAAAAGGGGCCAGCGCACAAACCATTAGAGCCTTAGGGGCCAGCGCACAAAACATTAGAGCCTTGGGGGCCAGCGCACAAACCATTAGAGCCTTAGGGGCCAGCGCGCAAACCATTAGAGCCTTAGGGGCCAGTGCACAAACCATTAGAGCCTTAGGGGCCAGCGCACAACAAAATCACAGCACTTAGTTCCCTCTTCTATCCAATCTCCCCATCATGGAGACAACGGCAATAATACCCTTCGATCTCATCATCTCATGCACCCTCGGTCGCTCATTCACTCGCATTTTCCCCCGCATACACTCGCGCTTTGTCCGCAACACATTATGTAACCCTAATCCAACGTCCCGCTGTTTCTTAACAGCCCTTGCCCTTTCGCCACGAAGCCAACCAGGCAATCCCCATCTGGATCCCCTCGCCTATCAGCTTTCTGGCGCGCAAGCTCAGTCACTGAATCTCCTACTCATCGCATTCCTTCGTCCATGTCGCCTAGCCTTCGAGCTCATTAAGCACTTCCTTCCGCCAGGGAAAAAATAAAATTAAGATTCCATACTCGCATTCTGTTTCGAAGCTCCAACGTCCTCGAAACGATCGAACCCCAAAAACCATTGCACGAAACAACGTTGTAAGAAACAAACGCTAGTGTTCGAACCGGAAAGATGTTGTGCCGGGCGCAAAATAACTGAGAGCGCGGCGACGTCGGAAAGAGAACATGGGAAAGCGAATCGACCGAACGGCGTGAAAGTTGTCAAGTCGGCGGCTACTACGCAACGTGCTTTTCGATCGCGACAGCAGCTTGAGCACGACTCTCTAGTACCCGCTTCTTCTATGGTTTCGGGAAGAATAAATCGCAGTTCATAACAAATTACCCTCAGCCGCAAACACCTATCGTAACCTTCCCGCCACACATCTCACCTTAAAAAAACTCGACGCGAGGAGGCTTTCTTAGCACTTGCAAACCCTAGCTTCTGCAGTCTGTGACGAAGAGAGTTAAATACTCGTGATTGTGCGTCCTTGTGACGTCTCCTGAACACACACACAAGAGCAACTGGTGAGGGAACTGGATTTGGCGGGAATGCGGCGGCGAGCCACCTTCCTTTCTGGTCTTTTTCAGGGTCACCGTGACGACTCGCTTGATTGCTTTGTGACAGATGCTGTTATGATATAGGAAGTGTAAACGAACTAAAATGCAAGAATACAAGGTCGCTATTGCAATGAAGGCACGAGGTTATATAGGGGTTGGCATGCTAGGGCGATAACCTCGGAACGTGGGTAGGTTCGGCAATGTGGCGACAGTGCCGGACGCGACTCGGGAAAGGGTTGGGCTGACAAATGAGGCCGAACGTGACGAGTCGAAGAGTCCGGGAGTACGCGCTACCGTACGGCTCAGTGAGGAATGGAAATTCCTTACACTACCCCCCCCTCAACGAGGCCGCGGGCATCGGAAACATTCGGCGGGGCAGTAGGCTAGGGCGAGGGCGGAAGCGGGTGGGCGGACCTAACCTAGTATGATACCATATTAGAATAGCAGAATGACTAGAAGAAGTGAGAACAGGGGAGATATAGGGTTGGAGTTGTACTCTCTATGAACACAAACCTATCTAGCCTATAAATTTTGCATATAGACATGTATAAGTTGACACATTCACCCCCCTCACACCTGCTCCAACTCGTCCTGGCAGAGAGGATTCTCTTTCAGTGAACTTTGTCGAGTATACTTCAATACTCCCGGTCATTCCTGAGTGTATGTCTCTAGGTAAATGCCGCCGCGTTTGCAGATTCCAACCAGGTTGGAGCGCTACTGAAACTTGCCGCGTGGGAGTTTATTCGTCAGAAAATCAGCAACCATTTATTATGTAGGGCAGTATTTCAGGATGACCTTCCCTTTGTCGATTTCGTCCTTGACGAAGAAGTAAAAGAGGGTTGTTGGGCTGAGAAAAAGCCCTTAGGATCTTTTGCAGAGACTAAGTCCCAGCTTGTAGAGACTTGAGACTTGGAGTAGTGCAGCGGAAGTTGAGGCAGTTGAACCCTTGTACTAGTATGTGAGAACAAGTGATTGATTAAAGAAACAAGCATACAGCAATATATAGAAGATAAGAAAGCAGTTGTAGAATACAGTTACAGGAACGGTTTATCGAGTCGCACAGCGACTCGATTGCCGCTTCGGTTACCATCCGTGATGTTGTAACGGTCAGTCGCAACCTCCAGTTGCGACCTTTCGAGTCCTTTCGCATTCTTTGTCCGCCCCCTCGTGTAACCTCCGTTGACTCGCGTGCTCCCCTGTAATCTTCCTCGAGTACAGTGTTACACTTCAGAAACGCTTAAGTCCTTGAGATATTTCCAACACTCCCCTTCGTTTCTGGAGTGCTGGAGTGTTCAGATCCGGTGACGTTTGTTTGCCCGGTTAGGAGCATGCAGTAGTCGAATTTTGCTTTCGCCAATTTCTTCGTCAGATAATCTGCGGCCATTTCTGTCGTCGGGCAGTAACTGAGTTGAAGTCTCCCCTTCGCGATTTCATCCTTGACGAAGAAGTACCGCAGGGCGATGTGCTTGGTTCGGTTGGCGAAGCCGTCCTTGTTCGCGATTTTGATCGCAGATTGGTTGTCGCAGAGGAGTGAGAAGGCGGGCAGGGTCGCGATCTTCGCTTCTTCGAGTAACTCTCGTAGGTAGAGTCCTTCCTTGGTCGCAGTACAAAGGGCGATATACTCTGCTTCAGCCGAGGATAGTGCGATTAACTCCTGCTTGCTCGACTGCCAGGAGATAGTTCCGATAGGTTCTAGTCGGTAGATGTAGCCCGTCCTAGACCGTCGATTTTCGCTGTCTCCCGCGTGGTCGGCGTCGACGTATCCGAGTAGTTGTACGGACGGTGTTGTTGTCTTGCTGTAGGTGAGCCCGATCGTCGGCGTGGAGACGAAGTAGAGTAGCGCTCGATTGAGTTCTTCGAGATCTTCCTGTTGCGGCTGCTTCAGATGTGTCGCCAGCTGACTCGCACTATAGGATAGGTCGGGTCGGCAGGTTACTGCTGCGAATAGTAGGCAGCCGAGCTTCTGTTGATACTCCTGGATTTGTTTCGCGGGGAGTTTTGTGGAGGCGCTACTGTTGTTCCCGTAGCGGTAGGGAGTTGGGACCGCAGTCGGTGCTAGACCGAATTTCTTCGCGACGGTGCTTGAGTACTTTCCAGCGTGTAGGTAGAACGCCGTGTCGTCTTCGACGATGTTCAGTCCTAGGTACTGAGTAACTTCGTCGGACACCGTGAGAGTTAAATCTTCTTTCAGCTCCCCTTCGAACCAGGTGGCGATGTCGATAGTGGAGCCGATGTAGAGCAGGTCGTCGACGTAGACGATGAGCAGAACATAATCTCTTCCCTTCTGCAGTCGGTACATCCCTTGGTCATGCGGTAATTGTAGGAAGCCGATCTTTGCGAGACGGCCGTGGAGATGCTGCTGCCAGAGCCGCGGGGCTTGCTTGATCCCGTATAGGGATTTTGTCAGTCGGCATATTTTCGTGGGATCGTTGATGAATCCGTGGGGTTGTTCGACGAAGATCTCAGCGTCCACAGGTGCGTATAGGAATGCATTCGCGACATCGATTTGGCGTAGTGGCAGTTTTTTCGTGGCCGCGACGGCGAGTAGGATGCGTAATGAGGTGTGACGGGAGACTGGAGCGAAGGTTTCTGTGTAGTCGGCTCCGTATCGTTGGTCGAAGCCTCGTACGACCCATCGAGCTTTGAATCGTTCGATGGAACCGTCTGAGTTGGTCTTGATGCGGTACACCCATTTCCCCGAGAGAACGTTTTTTCCGTTGATGCTCGTTGCAGGTACCAGTTTCCATGTTTCTCGGTCTTGCAGAGCTTTTAACTCCTTTTCCATTGCTTCCTTCCATCTTGCCTTATGTTCCCCCCCCAGAGCCTGCGACAACGTTGAAGGCTCTCGCGGAGAAGGCGGCGGCGGATTCTGGACGGAGACCCAGAGGCCTAGAATCTGGAGTCCCGTGGGCGTGTGTCGAGGGGAATTTTCATTCCCGGAATAAGCTGCTTCGTCACCGTCTTCGGGGTCAGGTAAGAAATTGGGGCCGATGCGTTCCGAAATATTCGTGTCGACGGGGTGAGGTGTAGCGTAACCTTGGTCGGCGAAGTGGTAAAAGGTGTCGAGGTTGTTGCTATCGAGGGGATTTTCTTCATCGAGTGGAACAGGTACGGAACAGAATGGGAGTGGTCCGGCAGCTTCCGAGGCTCCAGGTACGTCTTCTTCTGCTGCGTCAGCCTCGGCAGTATGGTCAGCGAAGGAGCGAAGGCCCGCGAAGCCGTCGGTGGGGTCTTGTGTGTTGGCAAGGTTGTCCAGGTAATGCTGCAGCGTCAGTCGTTCGTAGAAGATAACATCGCGTGATGCCACCGTGTTTTTGTCTTGTATGTCGAGAATTTTCCACGCGTGAAAATGTTTTGCGATGCCGAGGTGTAGTCCCCATCGAGCTCTTTGTGAGAAGCGTCCTGCTCGGGCTGTGTGGGGTCTGTACTGTACCATGCAGCCGAAAACGCGGAGTAATTTTGTGCTGCCCCTTTTTCTTGTCCACAACAGGTGCGGTGATGCGTTGTTGGGAAGTGATGACGAGGACAGCAGGTTGTGCAGGTGAACAGCATGTGTCATCGCGTCTGGCCACAGTGCGTTGGGCAGCCTCATCCCCAGAAGCAGTTTTCGCATCGTCGTCTGCAAGGTCCGGTTCATGCGTTCTGCTACCCCCTGCTGCTGGTGAGCATAGGGCAGAGACACCAGGCGTCGGATTCCCCTTTCCGCGAGATAGGTCCTGAAGCGTTGTGACTGGTATTCCAGTGCACCGTCTGACTGGAAACTCTTGAGTTTGGTTCCTGACTCTCGTTCGGCGATTGGAAGCCATGTGGTGAAGGCCTCGAAGGCTTGATCGCGCGTTTTGAGATTGAAGTGCCAGACGTATCTGGTTGCGGCGTCGATGAACGTGATGACGTAGTTGAAGTCGGCTTCGGTGTCGTCTCGAGGCATGTTTAGAATATCGCTGTAGACTTTTTCCATCGGAGCGTAAGTGGGTGCGCTTGGATTGTGATGGGCTTGGAAAGGTTGATGAGGAAGATCTGCTTCGGGGCATGTGAAACACCGTGCGCGTGGTCGTCGGAGTTCCTGGCCGTTCGTCGTCAGAAGGGCGTTGCGTTCTAACACCTCTGCTTGGATTGTTTGAAGTATCGTGCTGTTTGCAGGATGTCCGAGACGTTGGTGCCAGATGTCGTCGGGAGCGCGGTGGCCGGGCGAGCGGTGGTAGATGTCGGCGTTGGAGAAGAACGCGACGACTGAGGCGGGACTTCGACAAGCTTCTCGTGTGGCGGGCATAAGTTGGTCTGCTTCCGTTGGCGGTCCTCGTGTTGATGGTGGTGGTACTCGGCTGGGTCCTGCTGCTGATACTGCAGGTGATGGTTTTGTTGGGACACTTGCGGGTACTTGTCTTTCTTGTCTGATAACTGCTAATGCTCGTGTTATCTCTGCTGCAGGTATGGTGTTGGAGTGCCAGAAGCCGTCACTGTCGAAGTCGGGGTCAAGATCCGGCGGGTGAGTCCAGGCGGCGAACGATACGATGCCATCGCTGTCGGCAGTTCCGCGGTCGGGGACGAAGTCCAACACGAAGACACCGGACTTCAGGAGGGCACGACCGATGAAGAGGCCGCCCTTCCCGTGGTAAAGCCGGAACTCGTTGGAGTAAGAGTCGCACTCCAGGTGAATCCCCTTGGCCATTAGTTGGCTTACGCTTAGTAGGTTGTATCCCAGATTGTCGACAATGAGCACCTTGTTGAGTTGAAGTATGACATTCGTCTCCATTGATTGTAACTGAACCACGCCCTGTCTGTTTGTCTTCAGGTTTTCGTTGTTGGCGACGGTGATGACGACGTCGCGGTTGAGTCGTTTCTCGTGTTGTACGAAGCGTCCCGAGGAGCACATGTGTTGACCGCAGCAGCTGTCCAAGAACCAGGTGTTTCGCCCGGTGGGTTCGGCGTTGGCGACCGCAGCGTATGTCGGGTTGACCTGAAGTCCTTGTGAGCGCGGCGGCGGGAATTCCTCTTCGTCTGGTGCGTAAGTGGGTGGTGATCTGGGTGCGCAGTTGTCGATGTGTACCATGCAGTTGATGATATTTGGTGTCCCTTGTGCAGATGTTGAAGAGCGCCTTGGGGAACTTGCTTGAGTGGAAGCAACTTGTGGGTCTGCTGCTCGGTAAACGCGAGGGCGGTTGCAGTTGACTTTGGAGTGTCCGGAAGTCTGGCAGTTGTGGCAGAACGGCGGCACGATGGTGAGTCCTCGGTTGTCGCGTTGATCTTGCTTGCTGCGTCGGTTGTAGTTTATGTCATTTCTTCTTTGAGTGTAGAAGACTAACTGCTGTTGCTTCCTTGGTTGTCTTTCCTCGAACAGATCCATCTCCTGTTGTTCAGCGTGAAGCTCGGCGCAGAGGTGCATCTCCGAGATCCTTCCGTGGGCGCGAAGAAGCGATCGTGTGGTTCTCCATTCTGGTCCGAGCCCGGCGAGGACAAGTGTGACGAAGCTTTCTTCAGTGATCGTTCCTCCGCACCGAAGCAGGCGGTCGCGCAGGGTCTGGCAGCGACTCATATACTGCATCGCCTTTTCCCCGGTCTTCATCTGTATTGTTGTCAGCTGTTGCATGAGTCTGCTTTGTGTCACGCTGTCGTTTGCTTGGTAGAGGCATTTGAGATGATGCCATGCGAGTTCCGCGGAGTTTCCATAACTCCGATACGTTCTGATGCTCTGCTGCTCTTGTGGTGACAGGTTCCGCAGGAGGACTGTATACGCCAGTAGCGACTGATACGTGAAGATCTCTTGTTCCTTTCCAGTGCCGTTGCTTGGGAATGGCAGGGACCCGTTGAAGTATCCCAGAAGATGCGCGGCCTCCATCAGCAGCTCGAACTCGAAGCTCCAGGTAAAGAAGTCGTGTCCGTTGAACGGTGAGGATGTTTGTAACTTGATGACGTGTGAGAATTGAGCTTGAAGACTGAGAATCTCGTTTGGTGTTTGTTGTGATGCAGCTGCTGTTGGTTGGGCGCGGGGCGGCATGAACTCGAACGTCCCCGGTGAAGAATGATAAGGCGCAAAGGTAGGTGCTTGGTTGTGTCGCCCGAAGGATGAGTTGTCGAGGCTCATCGGCGCTAATCCCATGTTTCCTCCATTGCTCTGTGTTGAATGCGCAGGTGTCCTTGTCTGCTGTTGCTGGTCGAAGTGTGACATGAAGCTGAAGAATCTCTCCATGAGATTCGGGTCCACACTTGAAGAGGGAGACGGAGTCACCATCTCTGGTACTCTTCCTGTTGTTTCTTGAGCAGTCCCGGTCTCTGTCTGCAATCCTGAGGTGTGCAGACCAGAGTTGCCGTGTTGAGTTTCTTGGCCGCTGGGTGAGCCCGTAGAGGCTTTCTTGCCCTTGCTGTCCATGTCTTGTAATCAATGAAGTCGTTGAATTGAGTTGAGTTGCAGTTTGTTGATGGAGCGTGGTTGCTGGGAGTTTGATCTCTGACCAGCTCTCATACCATGTTGGGCTGAGAAAAAGCCCTTAGGATCTTTTGCAGAGACTAAGTCCCAGCTTGTAGAGACTTGAGACTTGGAGTAGTGCAGCGGAAGTTGAGGCAGTTGAACCCTTGTACTAGTATGTGAGAACAAGTGATTGATTAAAGAAACAAGCATACAGCAATATATAGAAGATAAGAAAGCAGTTGTAGAATACAGTTACAGGAACGGTTTATCGAGTCGCACAGCGACTCGATTGCCGCTTCGGTTACCATCCGTGATGTTGTAACGGTCAGTCGCAACCTCCAGTTGCGACCTTTCGAGTCCTTTCGCATTCTTTGTCCGCCCCCTCGTGTAACCTCCGTTGACTCGCGTGCTCCCCTGTAATCTTCCTCGAGTACAGTGTTACACTTCAGAAACGCTTAAGTCCTTGAGATATTTCCAACAAGGGTGATGTGTTTTGTGTTAAAATTATATAAGTTATAATTTATATAGGCTTGGTAGGTTGTTACTGAACCTTTTCTGTAGAGGGTACAAACCCCTCCTTGTACTCCTCTCTTACTAATCCAACTCTCTTTTCTTCTCCTCAACTTTCCTAGCACCTAAAACCTCTCGCCATTCTCATGGCTCCTCCTAGCTCCTAGCTAAACCTTGTGCCATTCTATGGCTTCCTAGCTAAGCTAGTCTTTTGACATGGTATCAGAGCAGTTCGTTCCGTGTGGGCCTGCTCCTCGCGTTTCCGCTGCGTGCTCGTTTCTCTCTCTATCTCGCGCTGCCATGGCGGCCGCGTCAAGCTGCTGTGGCCGCGTCGTCGTGCCGCGGCGCCGCCGTCGACGTCCATGGCGCCCGCGTCCAGCTGCTGTGGCCGCGCCGTGGTGCCGCAGCTCCGCCGTCGCGTCAAGATGCTGTCGCGACGTGACGGCGCCGTCACGCTGCCGCGGCGTCTACGCGACAGCGCGCAGTCGGCGTACCGGCGACGTCGTGCTGCCGTCGCAGCGTCGACGCCCCGCTGCGGCATCGACGCCGCTCCATGACGGCGTCGTCGGGCTGCAGCCGGCCGCGTGACGCTTGTGGCGCCGCTAGACCGGCCGCCCACATGTCAGCCTGTGGCGCCCCCCCCCCCCCCCACCCCCCCTCCTTCCCCTGTGCCCTCTTCCATTCCGCAGACGACGGCTGACTCCCGCCGGCCGTCCCACCGTCGCGGGGCCAGGCCACGTCACCGAGAGGTGCGGGTGCCGCCGCCGCTGCCGCTGTTGTCGAAGCCGCCGCCGCCGCCGCTGTCGCCGCTTGCGTCTGGGCCACGCAGCCGCACGCCGCCGCCGCCGCCGCTGTCGACACTGCCGCCGCTGCCGCCGTCGCCGCCGCAGCCCCTGCGGTCGACGTCGCCGCCTCACGCGCCGTGGGGTCGACCGACCTAGAGTCGCTGTCATTGTGGCTGGAATGGGGGTGCTAGGTTAGGGGGTGTGGGTGTGTGTGGGTGTGTGACTACCAAGCCTAGGGGGTGTGTTAAAATTATATAAGTTATAATTTATATAGGCTTGGTAGGTTGTTACTGAACCTTTTCTGTAGAGGGTACAAACCCCTCCTTGTACTCCTCTCTTACTAATCCAACTCTCTTTTCTTCTCCTCAACTTTCCTAGCACCTAAAACCTCTCGCCATTCTCATGGCTCCTCCTAGCTCCTAGCTAAACCTTGTGCCATTCTATGGCTTCCTAGCTAAGCTAGTCTTTTGACATTTTGTCCTGTTGACAAAGCCGGGCTTGTTTGCAATCTTGATTACGCTCTAGTTGTCGCAGAGTAACTTGAAGTTACGTGTCGTTGTGATTTTCGTTTCACAAACTGTAGAGCTTGCTGCGACGAATTCTGCTTCGGCTGACGAAAGTGCGATGACCTCCTATTTTGTTGAGTTCCAAGAAATTACACCACCCGGTTCAAGTTTGAAAATGAACCCTGTACGTGAACGCCTGTTTTTGGGGTCAGCAGCATTATCCGCATCAACGTATCCAGTCAGTCAAAAATTAGCTCTAGATGTTGTCGTATAGCTGATGCCGATTGTAGGAGTAGAAATAAAATATTGGAGAGCTCGACGAAGATCGGCCATATTCTCCCCTTTAGGTCGACGCCTGTACTGTGCGAGCTGACTCGTGATGTAGGCAAGATCTGGGCGGCATGTAACAGCTGCAAATGGAAGACACCTGAGTTGCTGTTGGTAAAGTTGATGCTCGGAGGCGTTAAGCAGGGTAGTATCAGGTATGTGATCGGCCGAAATGTGACTAAATAGAGGCCGATAGGAGCGATGGCAAACTTTTTCGCAAGTGTTTCTGCGTACTTGCTTCCAGAAAGGTAGATGGCATCGAGGCCGCAGTCGACGTTTAACCCAAGAAATTGGGTAACGTTTGGAGAAATAGTCACTTCAAGAATCGTTTGGATTCTTTTCTCCATGTGTGCCAGACGACTGTTGGACGAGCCGATGTACAGTAAGTTGTCCACGTAGGCGACAAGAAGAATGTAATGTCCTTGAGATTCGAGTATGTACATTGTAGGATGTCGAGTGACATCAACACTTTGTGAAGATGCTGCTGCCACAGGCAAGGAGCCTGTTTGATGCCGTAGAGCGATTTAAGTAACTTGCAGATATGGAGTCCGTCACCGTAAGTGTGAGGGAGTTCGACGAAAACACCTGCATCAAGTCTGCGTATAAATACGGGGTTTTCACGTCTAGTTGACGAAGTGGAAGGTGGCTGCTGGCAGCAATGGCGAGAAGAATTCGAACTGAGGTATGACATCTGACTAGAGCGAAAGTCTGATCATAAAAGATGCCGTGGGTTTGTTGGAAACCTCAAACGGCCCATCTCCCCTTGAATCTATCTGGTTCACCTGCTACATTTGTCTTTATGCGAAAGACCCATTTGTCCGAAAGAAATTTCTTTCCGCGTACTGCTTCGCGTGGAACGAGTTTCCACGTTTTCCGCTTCTGGAGAGCTGCTACCTCTGCATCCATAGCTGCCTGCCACTTGTCAGCATCTGAGCCGCACAGAGCCCGCTTGACTGTTTTCGACTCGATCCTGATCATTGGTTGCTGAATAGCGACAGCAAGTCCGAGGATCTGAAGAGCCGATTGGTCACCACGAGGATGAGGTTGGCAAACTTCAACGACGCCATCATCGTCTATTTCAGATGGCAGATGTTGGGCACCGACATGTGATGCTGCATCAGTTTTCTGTCGGCGCAGGTGCTCCTCATAATTATTGGCAGCCTATGTCATGGCAGGACGCAATATGTCCAAGAGTGGAATGAAGAAGAGTGTTTCAGTGTTTTTGGCACGTGTGGAAGGAATATAAGAGTCGAACAATAGTTCGGCTGCTGACGTGGACCACTGCAGAGCTGTAGAAGGTCCTGCTGCTGCGCTGTCGGGCGGATAATATTCTTCGGCTGCATCTGCTTCGTCTTGAGGAGTGGCGAAACTCCGTTCGGCACTGTAGCGATCAGGATCCCGCTGGTGGCGTTCCTTGTCGCGTTCAAAGTCAGTGAGAAAAGTTTCTTGTAGAAGATGCAGTCTCGAGCATACAAAACCTTTCGGGTTTTGTAATCCATAAATATCCAGGAATAGGAATCCTTGGGTACACCAGGATGTATTCCCCATCGAGCCCGTTCAGTAAACCTGCCCACAGTTGCGCTCGGAGGTCTGTAATGGACCAAGCAGCCCCAAACTCGTAATAGTCGAGTGTCAGTGGGGTGTTTTGTCCACATGACATGTGGCGAGCTGAAATGAGGAAGAGCTGTTGAAGACAAGCAGTTGTGTAGGCGGACAGCTTGAGCCATCGCAAATGGCTAGGAGTCTGCCGTTAAGTTGGACTGTTGCAGCAGCACGCGCATCTTCTCTTGCAACATTCTGTTAGTTCGCTCAGCTACTCCATTTTGTTGATGGGCATAAGGCACATTCTTGCGCCTGAGTATCCCTTTCTGTGCCATAAATTCATCGAACTGCTCGCTAGTGTACTCGCCCGCGTTGTCTGTCTGGATCTCCTTCAGCTTGATGCCGCTCTGCCGCTCTGCGATTTTCAGCCATAGTTTGAAGGCTTCGAGAGCTTCAGACTTGTGAGAGATATTCATGTGCTAGACATATCGAGTAGCAGCTTCGATGGAGGTAATGATATAACGGTAGTCATTGCCACTGATATCCTCTGCTTCCTGCGGCATGAGTATGTCGCTGAAGACGATGTCCAAAGGTGAGTACTTAGTAGCGCTCGGAAAGTGTGATGGGAACGGAGCATGACTTAGATGAGCTCCAGGGTAGATGGTGCAGGGTAGTTGAT